CACTGTTTCTGGCCATAGAGGCCTCCCTAGAGGTCGCGCACTTCAACTACAGCTCCACATACTATCAAAACATAGCGCTGCGAGTGTCGGCCCAAACCGCGGCCGACATACTGTCCGCGATGTATACCAGCTATACTGTGGGCCGTTGTCTCAGCGCGTTTGTGGCCCTCCGGGTCGGCCCCGACGCTATGATTAGCTATCATTTGCTGATTATTATCGCTGGTATGGGTGTCCTCTACTACGGCTCGACAGTACTGGAGCTGATATGGATCGGCAATATTATAATCGGTATAAATAGTTTACCAAACGAAGTAAAATAACCTTATTGTCCATTAAATACTTTATTTGTTAATAGGTTTCGGCTTTTCGGCCATGTATTCGGCGATTGTGGCGCTGACTGCCCGCCACTGCGCCCTCACAGACACCGTGAGTACAGTAATGGTGTTCACCAACGGTATAGTGTCGGCCATAACGCCCTTCATTAACCCAGGCGAGTAGCTTTGGTTAGGCAAACGCAAGTAACTTGAGCTTAACCAAATAGTCGCTATCAATGCCGCCCTCTTTCTGGTCATAGTGTCCGTCACCCGAACCGCGCGGCCACACAATCGGGCCCTTCGGTCGCTTGTGAACGCATAACTAGTCATAGGATTTAGTGTTGTTTTAGTAATTAATCTAAAAGTAATAATTAATTTAATTATACAGCGTTTGTGTTATACAAGAATTACAATATATTTTTAAAATAATTGATAAATTTTATAATAATTTCTAATCAAATATTTTATGTGATTTATATTTATATGATTTTAAATGAATTTTATTAAACCTAAGAATTAACGCATTTCTCATAAAGTTATAATTGATATACAATTTGTACGAAACGAATACCGGTTTATATTATGTTTATAAATATTTAATAAATTGTTGAATAAAAACTACTGAATAGTATTATTACTATACTTTTAGTTAAAATACTTTGCATAATGTCTTACGTTTAGATCAGTACTAGTGATGACCACAAATCATACGGCAATTATTGGGTCCGCTCATCGAAACCAATCCGTTTGCGTTCATTGAACTCGAATTGGTTTATCTCGCTATCAATGCCGCCCTCTTTCTGGTCATAGTGTCCGTCACCCGAACCGCGCGGCCACACAATCGGCCGCTTCAGTCGCTTGTGAACGCATAACTAGTCATAGGATTTAGTGTTGTTTTAGTAATTAATCTAAAAGTAATAATTGATTGAATTATACAGTGTTTGCGTTATACAAGAATTACAATCTATTTTTACAATAATTTATGAATTAGATTATAATCTTTAATCAAATATTTTATGTGATTTATATTTATATGATTTTAAACGAATTTTATTTTTATTAAACCTAAGACTTAACGCATTTTTCATAAAGTTATAATTGTTATACAATTTGTACGAAACAAATACCGGTTTATATAATGTTTACAAATATTTAATAAATTGTTGAATAAAAACTACTGAATAGTATTATTACTATACTTTTAGTTAAAATACTTTGCATAATGTCTTACGTTTAGATCAGTACTAGTGATGACCACAAATCATACGGCAATTCAATGATATTGTCATCAATTGAGGCATTGATTGAATTGAATGTTATTTTAGATTAAATCATGTGAAATGATAGCAAACTATTGAAGACATCAATGATTATGACATGAATGGAAGAATTGCTGCAATCAATCAGTTTAGCCTATTATTGCCACTTATAAGCAAAAGTAATTTATAAATACAAATGATGGTCAAAAATTGAATATTTTATAACGTAAATATATGTAACACGTTCAACGTTGCATAAAAATAGTCATTTTAATATTGAATGAAATAACCGAGATTATATTTATGAGCAAAACAAAACAAATCAAAGTAATTATTGACTAATTAAGACGTCAGACGTTACATATGTTTAATACAATCCATTATTGATGATTACAATTGTCGGTTCCTTTCTGTTCACGTGTGACGTGTGGCCGACCGGTGCTCTCATATCGACGGCTCACCTTCACGTCAGATGTGTGTTTCTCGTCCGCCGACTTCACTTCAGCCAATACATCGCTCGCGTCGGCCACCGCTCTCTCTAACCGCTCCACACGTTTCTTCATAGCCTTACGCTCTCTCTTAATACGGATCACTAGAGCGTCCAATTCGTCGGCCAGTTCTTTGCCGAACACCAATTGCGTGGCATAACGGGCCCTATCGAGCGGGTCGTCAAACTCAGGCACACAGGTGTTGGTGGAGACGTCGCGCGTCAGACGGAACGTCACGTTTTGGCACTTCTTTTTTAACCGTGACTTCCCATTAGTTTTGAGAACTGATGGTCTGAGTGCCGGCACTGACGCAAACGAGCCCTCGCTGTCCGATGTGTCCGAGAAGTCCGACAAATTAGGACTCATTTTTTGCGAGACGTCAGACGTGAGCGCAGGTTATAATTAACGATGTTTTCAACACATTTAAAGCCAAAACTCAAATGAAATTCCCGACTGTTTCCCGACACCTTAGGGGTTGACTCGTGCGCGCGCGCGCTGTCGGTGTGATTGTGTTGATTGCGTTAGTTTAAGGATTGCTTCAAATTTTAATCTATTTATTTGTGAATATCTTATGATAAATCAAAAATGGCGTATAAAATTATTAATGTTATAAAAATATTAATATTAATGCGTATAAAAATTTACATTACTATTACTATTATAAAAATCCCTACTTCCCTACTCCCTACTACTATACATTTAGACACCACTTTTAACAGTAGGTGTAGTTTGTATTGAATGAGTTATTATATGACTAACATAACTCATAGATTTATTATTATTATAACTATTATTCCAATAACTTATAAATATAAATATTATTATAACTTATTAACGGGGGAGCGGGGGAGCTGGCTAGTATTTATATAATGATAGTAATTTGATCATTAATTTGATAGTAATGGAAATAAAGTTTTGCCAAAACTTTACAAAAATTTGGTAGAAAAAGTCGTTTCTAACGATCGGAGATCTAAACCTTTTATGTATAGAGAGATCGCATAGAAATCATTATAAAAACATTACTATAAAAAGGTCATTAAATACAATTGACAAATATATAATAAATCATTCACAAACAACGTACACATTAATTAAAGGAAAAAGTTATTTGCATAATATTAGACTTATATATTAAACATAAGGGGAGGCGAAGGGGACTATAGAACTGTGGTATACTAACGTCTATTGTGAACAATGCAAATCACTGATACACATAAAACGTGATATAAACAAGCAGTACATCATTTATGGGCTTAAGTGATGTCCCAAAAGTGTGTATCGGATCCGTTGTCTTCAGCTCTGATCTCACTTCGGGCCAGAAGTCGGTTGCAGTCACTGAAGGATCGGGTTTTATGGGATGAATACAGGGTATCAGTGCTCAACACTGGCCACGAAGACTGTGCCACACATAACACCACTCATTATAATCACAGCAATTATAATAACAATTGCAGCGAAAGTAATGGCGAAAAACCAGAAACTATTAATTGTGTGAAAAGCCATTCAACTCGTGATCACAACAACTCTATTGACAACTCATTCACTGATTATAATAATGAAAACAAAAGTGATTTAAACGTTAAATGTGTTGACAATAGTGTTAATTGTGATCCTATTGTGTGAAAAGCCATTCAACTCGTGATCACAACAACTCTATTGACAACTCATTCACTGATTATAATAATGAAAACAAAAGTGATTTAAACGTTAAATGTGTTGACAATAGCGTTAATTGTGATCCAAAAAGTGGTTTAAAAGACATTGAATTACAAAACAAATTGAATTATTTGTCGATTCAATTGAAAAACTCTGTATTTCTCGAAGAGTTTCTGATTGGGAAGCGTTTGAACCAAACTATCACTCAATCCATGCCTAAGACATCGAAGAAGACATCAACAGCTGTTAGCAAACGATTAGTTAAAACTCAAACCAATTATAAAATTACAACTAATAATAAAATTAAAAGTAATAATAATAATGAAAAAGGCGTTGAAATGAGCGATGAGTTGACAAACACTCACTTAATTCCCGACGAATTAATTGTTAATAAATTAATAAATGATTTGATAATTGATTTGTTTAACACAGAAATGGATCGACTATTGGATGACAATTAATACGCAAATTGTTGTCTATTGTGTTAATTAATTTTCAAATTATATTTTTTAAACTAATAACTCAAACCTGGGGTACAGACAAGTGTGTGTCCGCCTCCCTTCCCGGCCCCACCCCTTACCCCTTGGCCGCACTCCGAGGCCAGTAATCTAGTTAATTACACGTGTTATAAGCACTTATATAATAAGCAATTATAATTAATTAACATTATTTAATAGTGTAGATAATGTGCTAATTGTATGAAAATTACATCACTTTTATGTATAACAAAACAGATCTCTATTTTTGAATTAATTTTAATTACTATTTATTGGATTCACATTTTAATAGTCATTTAGTTTTGAAATGATATAACCTTTTTGATTGTGATTTAAAATTGTTATTTTTAATACACAAAACATTTTACGATAAGTTTTTAATAAGTTTTATAACTCGCGTATGAATTAAGTTGTTTCGCAAACATATGGTTAGTTAATAATGAATGTATTAAACAACGAGTTAGAAGTGGACAATAATAATGATCTGATGGACGACTCGAGTGATAGTCGGCGTCGACGGCGAAGAAGTAGTAATAAGAGTCGAGTTCCGGATCACAGGTCTTGGGATCTATACGTCTACACAATCGCCGCTTTCATCAATCATTTCGCTTATGTATGCGTTTAAAGTTTAAACAGTGAATCCACTCGTTATAGTGAACCCTCGGTTATAACCAAATATTCATTAATTAATGACAATTATTTTCATTGTTAATAATTGTAGATAAATGGTCTCCTACTTAATCCATACTTTACAGTTATAAATTATAACTTATAATGATTGTTCACTATAACGAGTATTTCATTTGCATATGAAATGAATTAAAATTTTTAATTATATTTGATTTTGTGTCCAAAAGGGTGTCACTCAAGGCTTAATCGGACCAACACTTGTTGACTTGAAATACATGTTAAACACGACAATGAATTTAATATCCATTAGTCTTATCTTTAATAACATCGGATACCTATCGGGCTCTCTCTGTAAGCAGTTTCCGGACACTAATTAATTAATTGTAAAATTAATTATATATTAATACTATTCACTAAACTCTGTGTTAATTATCATTTTAGTCGGACTTTTATACAAATACATTAACAGACAGTTAACTATTGTCTTAATAATGTCAGCGATGGCCGCGTCATCAGCGCTGATACCCGACAGCCCTAACCTGTGGACACTTTACGTATTTCAATATTTCAGTGGATTGGGAGCCGGTATTTGGGACACCGCTAACAACGTATGGCTGATTGAGATGTGGCCGCACAACAGCCTACCGGTGCTCCAGTTCTCGCAGTTTATGTGGGGTTTAGGATCAGTTATCGCACCCATTATTGCTAAGCCGTATCTGACCGGTGAGACCAATCATACCGTCGTTACGCCGACGCCTGTCACATACCACGCGTTGATGGCCGACACCATCACAACCACTACACCAGCGCCCGTACCGGTGGACAGGCGGGCACTCCTGAGGACCCCATTCCTTATCTCTGGCATTCTTCAGGCATTTAGTAATTCAATAGTTTTTTTTGTCTCTCATCGATTGTCATGAAAGTAATTATCACTTTTAATTGACTTTCAGTACCGCTTGTGTTCCTAATCATGTATTTTGTGCGCAAATACAAGAGTCCGGACGAACGGCTCAAACGCAAGGACTCGTCGGAAAACCTGTTGGCAAACGACGAGTTGGACGATAACCACCACAGCGTTGAGTCGGAGCCGCGGGACGAGACTCCGGGCGCTTCTACGGCGCGAAAGAATGCAGTTTTGATAGCACTGTTCTCATTATTTCTGGCCATGTATTCATCGCTAGAGATCGCGCACTTCAACTACAGTCCCACATATTATCAGTACACAGCGCTCAGACTGTCGGCACAGACAGCGGCCAGCATACTGTCCACAATGTGTACGAGTTATACTGTGGGCCGTTGTCTCAGCGCGTTTGTGGCCCTACGGGTCGGACCAGACGTCATGATTAGTTACCATTTGCTGATAATAATCGCTGGTATGGGTGTCCTCTACTACGGCTCGACAGTACTGGAGCTGATATGGATCGGCAATATTATAATCGGTATAAATAGTTGACCAAACGATGTACAATAACAATATGGTTAGATGTTGTCTATTAAATACTTCATTTATTTGTTAATAGGTTTTGGCTTTTCAGCCATGTATTCGGCGATCATAGGGCTGACTGCCCGCCACTGCGCCCTCACAGACACCGTGAGTACAGTAATGGTGTTCACCAACGGTATAGTGTCGGCCATAACGCCCTTCATATTGGGTCCGCTCATTGAAACCAATCCGTTTGCGTTCATTGAACTCGAATTGGTTTATCTCGTGATCAGCGCCGCCCTCTTCCTGGCCATACTGTCCTTCACCCGAACCGCTCGGCCACACAATCGGGCCCTTCAATCGCCCGGTGCTTATGTGAACACATAACTAGTCAGCCATTAGTGTTTGTTTGACTGTAGTTTTTAGTGATTAATGTAAATTTAGTAATAATTAATTTATGTTATTTAAGAATTACAATATATTTATGGCAATACTTTGATATTTTTTATATACATCACTATTTTCCTGATATATTTCATGTGATTCATATTATTATAAATTTATATTTATATATATTTTTATCATTATTTTATTAAGACTTAATTAAAGCATTTTTGACTGAAATTTTATGAAACAAATTATAGTTTTGTTTATAAACATTGAATTAATTGTTGAATAAAAGATAACTATATTATTATATTTTGTATTCATGTATGTGTTGTTTAATGCCTTACCTATTGAGTAGTAAAGTAGTAATTTACCATAAGGTTTTGGAGTAATAATTATAATAATAATTTGTAAAATAGACAATTAATTAACTTTTAATTTATCATAATCTTGGAGCAACACGATTTACAATAAAGAATAACTATCTCATTATTAAAAACAACTAATAATTAGTTATAAATTCAATGTGTAATTATCAGTCTCGCAAATTACAATAACATTTTATTAAAACGTTAAAATATGGTAATTTATAATTAAGTAATTATAATTATTACCATTTATTAAGAGTCCATTATTATAACATAAATATTAAAATTAATAAACATATAAAATGTATTTATTAATCAATATTATGTGTATTTTAGTCGTAAGCGTCGGAATATTTCGTAATTATAAATTTAATAATACGATCATCATTATTAAGCTCTAGCTTAAAACATATTTAATTATGTAATTTAATTTAAATTAATTCACTCACATTACGCTACAGAGGGTACGACTGGTGGCGACAAATCAAAGTACGAGTTGCCATTGGAGGACGACGTGGACACATCACTGGCCTGGGGTTTCGTGTTGGGCGACCCGTACCGTATGGTCGGACCTAAGAACGCGCTATTCAAAAAGAAATGCGAAGAAATCAGCGGACAGGGAACGTAAGCATTCCCATTCCCGGGGGCAGTTCGCCCTATCTCACATTTGTACCATGTGCCATATGTATGTTGTTATTAATATACTTTATTAATTACTTACTTACTTTTGATAGTAAGGAAAAGTTGAAAAAAATCCGGGAATACTTGTCGTTAAAATATTCCAACAATACGCTAATCAAGAACCTGACCATGACCAAACCCGAAAACGTGGTCAAAGCGTTTTGCGAGCCTATTATTAAGGAAACATTTAAGGGTTGGAAACAATTCAATGATAAATATAAGGAATCCGAAAAAATTAGGAATCAAATGATGGACGTCTTTATGGAGGCTAATAAGACCCGCGGAACCACTATTACTATACCTAAACTCGTTTGGTAAGAGAGAGAGAGAGAGAGAGAGAGAGAGAGAGAGATCTTAAAATTAATCTTAATCTTAAAATTTCAAACTATTTGTTGCGTAAAATGATAGTTACATCCGTCTGTACAAAAATCAGACCATTCATGTTTACACGGAACAAAACAACACCCGAGAGTTTGCCCGCAAATACTTTGCCATATTTGATGAGGCGGTCGGTGTAATCAATGCGCACACCGGCGCCAAAAATATGTCTGATTGCAAGTTTGATGGCGTACCCAAATCGACTGTACGTCCGCCCCAATCCATATATCTGGCACTATTAGCCGCCGTTAATAATCTAACCAAGAAATGATGAAATTGTATCATGGTTTATTTTTCTAATGTACAAATGTGATCATCACCAATAAGGGTGTACAAATAGTTATGTTTTTAGTGATTAATTCTGTGGTTAATAAATTATTCTTATGGCAATACTTTAATAAATTTTATATACATTCTATTTGTCATGAATATTTCATGTATACTAGTATTTTTATTATTTTTTATTAAGATTTAATTAATCCATATTTGACTAAAATTATATTAAATAAATAAAATATAAACATTAAATTAATTGTTGACTAATAAATACTTATACAGTGCAACCTCTCTATAAAAATCGGCTAGTATACGAAATATAAAAATATGGTATTTTTTAATTAAAAATTTATAATTATTAGTATTAAAATCCATTACGATAACATACATATAACGATTTATATAAAGGCATATAAAATGCATTTATTAATCAATATTCCGTGTATTTTCATCGTAAGCTTCGGCCTATTTAGTAATTATAAATTTGATAATACGGCCATCATTATTGCGCCCAAACATACATCATGATTAATTAACTAATTACTAACCACACGTTACAGAGGGTACCGCTGAGGCCATGTTTGAGCTGCCACTGGAGGACGACGTGGACACATCGCTGGCCTGGGCTTTCGTGTTGGGCGACCCGAACCGTATGATCGGACCGACGGACAAACTATTCAAACAAAAATGCATGGAAATCAGCGGACAGGGAAAGTAAGCATCCCATTCCCAACCCCTGTCCCTACACTTACCTCTTATCACAGTTCATAATCTCATTCTTACCCACATTCACAAAAATTGCACCAGGTGCGTGTTGTTATTAATGAACATTGACTTTTATGATAGTACGGAAAAGTTGCAAAAAATCCGGGAATACGTAACAAACAAATATTCAACAAATAAGTTGATAGTAAAATTGGCCCAGACCAAAGCCGACCAGATTTGGAAAGCCTTCTGCGAGCCTATTATTAGCGGCAGTTATAAGGGATGGAAACAATTCAACGAGAGATTTGTCGAATCCGCTAAAGTTAGGGAACATATGATGGATGTGTTTATGGAGGCAAATAAGAACAGCTCAACTATTACTATACCCAAACTCATTTGGTATATGCGTATAGTTTGTATATTTTATACGAGAGAGAGAGAGAGAGAGAGAGAGAGAGTTGCGAACAAAACCCAACCTAAGAACGCGCTATTAAAAAAGAAATGCGAAGAAATCAGCGGACAGGGAACGTAAGCATTCCCATTCCCGGGGGCAGTTCGCCCTATCTCACATTTGTACCATGTGCCATATGTATGTTGTTATTAGAGAGAGAGAGAGAGAGAGAGAGAGAGAGAGAGAGAGTTGCGAACAAAACCCAACCGCATGATAATCAAATAAAATTAGTTACCCTGTTTATTGTTGATAATTGGTTGGGTGAAAGCAATTTATCACTTAAGCTGAAATTCTAATACAGTATTAATAAGCTAATATTAAACTAATATTAGTTAAATATAACTAAATTGGTAACCTGTTTAATTGGTTTAATTGCATAAAACAGTTACATCCGTCTGTATAAAGAGAAGACTATAAACGTTCACTCGGATATAGACAACGCCCGAGAGTTTGTCCGCAAATACTTTTCTATATTTGATGAGGTGGTCGGTGTCATAGAGGCCGACACCGGCGCCAAAGGGGCGCCCGAATGCAAGTTCGATGGCGTACCCAAATCGACAGCCCTTCCGCCCCAATCCGTATATCTGGCACTATTGGCCGCCGTTAATAATTTAACCCTAAAGTAAATTAAATCGTGATCAGTTTTTCTAATATGCAAATGTGATCATGATAGAAATTGTATAAATATCTATGTTTTTTAATTGATTTTGTGATTAATAAATGATTCTTAAAGTGAATTTTACAAATGATTTTAATTTGACTTTTGTATTGTAAATTATAATTTATATACGATTGGCACACATCTGAATAATAACTTAATAAGCAATATATTTAAATAATAAACTAAATTTTAACTAATTATTAAATTTACATAAATGTGATTAATATTATAATTAAAAGCAACAATAAATGAATAATAAACTAATAAATTTTAAACTTTTAATGCCATTACTCTAATAGACAATAGATGTGATAGAAATCGATGGGAATCGGAAGCGGGTATATCGGGGTAGAAATGTTTTTAATTTAATTAAAAGTTGTTTTAATCAATTTATTAAATTATTTATATTTTCAAAATCTATTTTCTATAAGGCTTGATTCAATTTTAAAATGGCATTATTCTAAAATGTACTATATCGTTAATGGTAAACATAGTTGTAAATTATAAACTTGTAAAAACCAGATTTTTCTTGATGGTTAATAAAAATAATAGTTGTTTATTTAATATCAGCAAATATTTTAATCAATTCAAGTGAACAGCGCAATAATTGTCAAGCACATACAGTGTTGTTTAAAATGACCAGGTAAAATTTGATATTATTTAATGATATAACAATTTCTTATAGTGAAAAATATTTGTTTGAAAAACTTGATAATATCATATTTGTGTAAACTATTTATTGCTAACGAATAATGACACTGTAAATTTACAATATCTAGGATTTTTAGTTAATACAAGGTTATTATAAATAGTATAAATGCGAGATATTATTAACAATTTTGTATTAACTAATAAACATATAACAAAACAATAGCGATGGACGCGACTCTGTCAGCACGTCAAGAGCTTAGCGAAATTGACCTTAATTTGGGTTTAGAACAGCCAATAGATGAACTCATCAAACGAATCAAGGAAAACAACCATGATGATAAGTTTGTTAGCTATTATATTTTGCATCCACATGCATATTAACCATGATATCATAATACAGTACCTGTAAATAATAATAACTTAATAATAATAATAATTTTTATTTAGTATTTTCTTAAGACAATGTTTATACAGAACTTGTAATATGCATATTAAGTAAAGTAAATATACATATCTAGTATACATATTTATACATATCTAGTAATGTTTATCATTCACTTTTACTAGATATCCACTAGTGATGGACATCGGGTGCGGACCGGGAAATACTGCCAAACTATTGGCCAAAGAGCTAAACCCGGAGCACATCGTCGGCGTAGACATCGATCGCGATATGATTGCATTTGTCAAACAACACAACGCTATGGCGAACACTGATTACTACATTCAGGACATCACTCAGGAGTGGAAAGAATGGGACAAAAGTCTTCAGAAGTTGGCCGGAAAAGTGTCCGTAATTTTCTCCAACTTTACCCTGCATTGGGTCCGGGAGTCGGAGACCGCCGCCCAAAATATGTCCAAACTATTGTCAAACAACGGTATTATAGTAATGAATATACTATATTGCGGTGATATCTATCGCAACGCCGGCACCGATGACCGCAGGGCTCAGTTGGAGCGACAGCTCCGGTATCCCAGCGAACAACAACTGATCGGCCAATGGGTGACCGCATTCAAGAGCGTCGGACTAAACCGGATTGATATTAAATACTGGGAACCAAAGGCTCTATTCCCGGTTAATGTTTATAATGGTTAGTAATTATCATGTCATATATCATGTGTGTAATTGTATTGCATTTATTACAATTAATTAGAGATCATTCAAATGTATATCAATTGGTATAAACAGTTTCTGACAGACAGTACCGGCAATGAAGACATGGATACCGTCTTACGAGAGCTGATCATTAAGTACTTCGAGACTTGGAAGACGTCTAAAATCTTAGTCAACGGTAAGGATCTGATTGAAGTCAACCGTGAATTGTGGAGTTTTGTGATAAGCAAATAATATAGATAGTTATGTTTGTGATTACTACATTGTAATAATTAATTTTAATTATCAGTATTATTAAGCTTACAATGCTATTTTATTATGTATTAATTGTTGCAAAAATATATTCAGTGTTGTATTTCCAAGCAATTATTAAATGATATTTTATTTTGCAATAAAGAAAACATTGAAAACAAACTACCATTAACATTATTTTATTAATATCTTATATTGATTTAAAGTTTTACTTTATCTAATTCTGAGTACTAATTTATTGATGTCTTGATAATTAACATAACAATTAGCAAAACAAATCAGATTTATAAAAAAAGTTAGTTATAAATATGCTACAAGTTACTGTATAATATACCAGTATATAATAACGGTATAATACAGATACCGAGTTGTAATCAATATTATTAATATTCATTTAGTTTGTACTGTTTTACCTCCAGGTTTATCTACTTATAAATACTACTCAATAAAATATAATGTTTTTAATATTTAATTCTGTGATTCATAAATAATTATTAAAGTAAATTTTACAAATAATTTCAATTTGATTTTTGTATTATAATTTATAAACAATTGCCACACATCTGAATAATAAGTTAATGCAGTCAATACAAGTGATAGGAATCGAAAGGGGGTATATCGGGGTAGAAATGTTTTCAATTTAATTAAAAGTTGTTTAAATTAATTTATTAAATTCTCTATATTTTTTAAATCTATTTTCTATAATGAATTAATTTTTTTAAATGGCATTATACTAAATTGTGCTATATCATTAATGCCAAACACAGTTTTGCATGAATTATAATTTATAAAATTGTTTAGCAACAACCAGATTTTTCTTGATGCTTTAAAAAATAGTTGTTTATTTAATTACAGTTAATATTTAGTTTAATTCAATTGCACAGCACAATATTTGTAAAGCACATGCCGTGTTGTTTAAAATGACCAGGTAAAATTTGATAGTATTTAATAATATAACAATTTCTTATAGTGAAAAATATTTGTTTGAAAAACGTGATAATATATGTCATTTGATTGTGTAAACTATTTATTGCTAACGACTTTGATTACACTATAAATTGACAAAATCTAGAATTTTTATTATCTATTATACTCTTATGTTAACTAATAGACATATAACAGGACAATAGCAATGGATGTATCCGTCTCAAGCAGGCAAGAGACTAATAAAATTAACGATACATTGGGTTCTGCAAAACCACATGATAAACTCATCAAACACATAAAGAACAACAACAATGATGATAAGTTTGTTAACTATTACATTTTGCATCTATATGCATTTTGTATGTTTACCATCAATTATAATGTTTATCATTTACTATTACTAGATATCCACTAGTGATGGACATCGGGTGCGGACCGGGAAATACTGCCAAACTGTTGGCCAAAGAGCTTAACCCGGAGCACATCGTCGGTATAGACACCAATCCCGATATGATTGCATTCGCCAAACAACACAACGCTATGGCGAACACCGATTACTACGTTCAGGACATCTCTCAGGAGTGGAACCAATGGAACAAAAGTCTTCAAATGTTGGCCGGAAAGGTGTCCGTAATCTTCTCCAACCATACCCTGCATTGGGTCCGGGAATCGGAAACTGCGGCCCAAAATATGGCCAAACTATTGTCTAGTAATGGTATTATAGTAATGAATATATCATATTTCGGTGATATCTATTGCAACGCCGGCACCGATGAACGCAGGGCTGAGTTGGAGCGACAGCTCCGGTATCCCAGCGAACAACAATTGATCGGCCAATGGGTGACCGCATTCAAGAGCGCCGGACTAAACCGTATTGATATTAAATACTGGAAATCAAAGTTTATAATATCGGCTAATTTCTACAATGGTTAGTAATTATCATGTCATATATCATGTGTGTAATTGTATTACATTTATTACAATTAATTAGATATGATCGGTGTGTCTATTAATTGGTACAAACAATTTTTGACAGACAGTACCGGTAATGAAGACATGGATACCGTCTTACGAGAGCTGATCATTAAGTACTTCGAGACTCAGAATATGGTTAAACAATTACCCAATGATAAGGATGTGATTGAAGCGAAAGGAGAAGTGTGTGATTTTGTGATAAGTATTTAATATAGATGCTTATTCTTATGGTTATTTAATTATATTTAATTTTAATTATCAGTATTATTTAGCATACATATCGTTATTTTATTATGTATTTTATTAATTGTTGCATTAATATATTCAAACTGAATAATTTAGTGTTGGATTTCCAATCAATTATTAAATGATATATAGTATAATACTGTATTATAAATACAGATCTGTATATTATTATATCATATATTATTTTGCGCTAAAAAAACATTAAAAACAAATTAACATTACTTTTTTAATCTTATACTGCTTTATACGGACACCAGATTTGTCTACTGATGAATTTTACTCGATATAAAATATAATTATGTTTTAATATTTAATTTTGTGATTAATAAATGAGGTTTAAAGTAAATTTTTATGAATGATTTTAATTTGACTTTTGTATTATAATTTATAAAAGAATTGACACACATCTGAATAATCAGTTAATAAGCGATATATTTAAATAATAATATAAATTCTAGCTAATTATTAATTTCACACTAAACGTAATCAGTATTATAATTAAAAACAAAAATTACACACAAAATCAGTGAATAATAAATTAATAAATTTTAAAATTAATTACAAATTGAATCTCGATAATAAATTATTGGATGACTTTTTTTGTCGGTAAAATAACTCAATTATTGCCTTTAGAGTAAACACATAACTCTTATCACGAGTTAAATACCGGAAAATTCTGTAATTTTTATAAAATTATTTTTTTTGCGATAATGTTATCTAAAAACAACTCATATCTTGTTTTTGACGGATAGGATAAAAATTATTTACTGTAGACTTTGTAGTGATCTGTAAACACATTCGCGCATTATTTATTTTTAGTGCACTATTTTATTGATATGATTTTTGAGTATTAGTCCCCAAAAGAAGTCATGACGTATTAATAGGTTTATTTTAAAATTAATATTTTCACAAAAAAACATGTGCTTTTTATGCAAAATTATTCTTTGTGGAAAAATAGAATGATTGCTGGTTATTTTGCCCTGGACAATTATTTTATATCATTTCTCATTGATGACCAGCAAACCCCCGAACATGGTCATTTTTCGACATTATTTTTACAAAAATTTGATAATCTTGTATTATCCAAACGTGTTGCACTAAAAATCTAAACAATATACCATAACAATTCGATGATTGAATATCACTGATTGGGGTGGTCAAAAAGTTGCCGCACTCGTGGCTTTTGCTTTGATACCCAACCGAAGTTGGCCGCACATCGATAGTGGCCACCATTCGATCAAGATTCTAATTCCATATATGTCGGCTAAAATATGTTCATGGAATAGGGTGGCAGTGAATATACTATTTTGGATCACTTTCACGTGATATGGAGGAGCTAGAGGTCAAGAAAATTGAATTTTAGACAATCTTGAAGCTGAAAAAATCA